AGTAATCATATTAGATAGAGATATCAAGTTTATTAGTAAATTTTAAAAATTATTATTTAAATAACTTGAAATAAAACTAGTAATATTAATAATCTTTTATTTATAGTTAGATAATTAAATAGAAAGATTAAATAAACTTTAAAAAAAAATATTAAAAATATATACAATATATAAATAAGATTAATAAAATAAAAATCTAGTAATAATTGTGACAGATTAAAATGAAATTGGATTAAAATGAAATTTTCTCTATTTAATATGAAAATTTTGTATTTTTTTGGAGGCAATTTTCTAGATTTTTTTTGGAATTTGGGTTAGGATTTAGGGTAACTTTTGTTAATAGAAGAGTATATATGGATTTCAGAGGCATTAAAAGAGGATTCAAAAAGACCCCAATTTCATTTTAATCTGCCACAATAATTAAATTTATCTATAATAATGTTTGGCACTATTTTTTAAGGTTCAAAAAAATAGGATAAAAACCAATACGGTGATGTTGCTTATATTCCCGCCAAATAGGTAACGGTAACGTTACATTGCATTAATTAAGAGTGTATATACATGAGTTTAATTATGTAAGATGACAAAAAACAAAATTTTCACCCATGTTAACATTACAAATTGATCTATTATATGGTGCATATACTACTTAAAATTAAATTTTAGGTCTTTTACTTTTCATTTTCTAATTATCATTGTTATGATAACAATATTTTAAAAAAAATATTTTCACAAATTCAGTCAATTTTCATTAATCAAAAAATTATATTAGTTAAAAGAACTGCATTTTTTCCATGTATTCAATACTAAAGCGAGAAAAATGTAGATTTTTAAATTTCCAAAGTTATTTGTTTCAAAAGCGGGAATATAAGGATAATGTATATAATGAACTGTTAATATCGATAATATTACCAGTTTGGCAAATATTACTAATATTACTAATATTTTCAGTTTAGAATGACACCAAATAGTAATAACTTACCAGTTTCCTTATTATTATTTACCAGATTGCGTATTCAACAATTCATATGCGTGACAAATGAATGAAATCACAAACTAATTACATCCGGAATGTACGAAATTAGTATTTATGCTATAATTTCAGGATTTTGTGTATTTTGGAGTGCCATTATTTCGAGCTTTCGTTCATTGGAATGCTGTTAATGTGAAATATCACTTTGTTTGAACATAAGAATAAATGTACGAACCTTTATTAATTGGAATTGTTTGATTTGTGTAAATTGGACTTGTTGTTTTATTCGTAGAAATGCTTTTTTGCGATTTGACTTTCTAATTCAAGATACTCATAAATTTCTTCATCTGATCTAAGATATCAGTTCCATTTATTTATTGTCTGCTAACTGACGGCGAATAAAAGTAAATAAAACCATGAGTTCCCAGCAATTGGTCTGTTTTCTGGAATAATCCCAACATTTTTCAATAATAAATTTGTACCATTCATTTTAGAAATGTTTACGTTTGCCACGTGTATAAACTCTTAAGTAATTTGAAATGACTTTATCACTTTTCTTTCCCCCATCGTTTAAATATATTTTCTTCATGATCCACTTGCATTCAAAATTCATTTAACGTTGTAAATCTTTCAAAAGAAATCCATTCATTATTATTATTCTTTTATTAGATTGTTGATATCTTTATTATTTGCTTACTCTTGTAAATAATTATCAAATTCTTCTTCAATATTAGATAATTACTCATCAAATTCTTCATTCTTATTAATTGTATTTTCTAAGAAATCTTGATTAAATATAATATTTGAAGTAGATACTTCAATTTGGATATTTGATTGGATGATTTCAAATATTTATTCAACAATATCGATATCTTGATTGAATCTTAAATTCATTAATTAGTTTGAAATTGATGATAATATATAATATTTGCACATAATTTGCTTATTTGTAAAGCTTTGGCAGACTAATAATTAAAATATTATATTAATTTATTATTATATAAATTATTATATATATATACTTACCATTAATTGATTACAATAATAAAACTCATATAACTTCAAAGTTATTCTATAGTAGTTATATTTATATATATTTCAAAAATTTGACTTGCAATCAAATTCAGTTCTTCAATTAATACAATGACAAAATATCAATAATGATAAATATCACCTGAAAATTAATTCTATATTGCTATATCAAAAGGATATTTTATTAGACAAAAATTATCAAACTCTTTTAAAATGCATTTTATTTTCTTTTCAAATCATGTTTGATAATAATAAACAAGCCATGGATCAAAATTTGTATAGTTAATATTTGTATTAAACTTCTCTATATGATAATTAAAATAATGATTTGTATAACCATTTTATCAAACTGCTCAATTCGAGCGAAGCATTTGTAAAAGTAAATCAAAGGTTAAAGATTCATATAGAGTTTCAAACCCGAAATATATCAGAAAACCAATTTTTAAAACACTTGCAAGATAATGGTCAATATATTCTTTTAGGCTATTGCTATCACTATGGAATCCGAGTAGAAGCAAATGCTAGGCTTGCTTTAGAATATTATTTAGCTAAGCAAGTTGATTCAATTACACAATTTCTTCTTGGAAAACTTCATCGTGATATTTTATTTAATAATGAAAAAATTTTGAATGGTATTTAAAGTCAGCGAATTCTGGGTATGCCCGAGCACGAATAAATGCTGGAAATTGTTATTTTAATGGATTAGGGACGGATAGAAATGCAAAGCGAGCATTTGAGTTGTTTGTGGAGGCTAATTCTGGACTTGCGTCTGCTCTAATTAATCTTGGTAATTGCTATGAGAAGGGCGAAGGAACGGCTAGAGGCGCAAAAGAAGCTTTTGAATGGTATTCTAAAGCAGAAATTTCTGATCTCCCTGCTGCTTATCTAAGTTTAGGAAAATGTTACCTATATGGAACAGGAGTAAAGAGAGATGAATACAAAGCATTTAATTATTTTGTAAAAGCAGCTGAAGTACAAGATGCGAGTGGACAATTTTTTCTTGCTCAATGTTATCAACATGAAATAGGAATTTCTTCAAATGAAAATTAGCATTAAAATGGTATGAAGAAGCAAGAAAAAATGGGCATAAAATAGCACCGGAAATGGTTGAATCCTATAATTTTGAAGAAATATACCCCATTAATAAGTCCAAATAGCCTTTTGACCATTTAGAAATTTTATCACTTGAATTTTGCATACGTGCGTTTATTTATTTCCACATACATGTCCGATGCAAAATTAAAAACAAAAGTTTAGATCATTTTTCAATTTATTTGATTTTTGTCAATTGATACACCAAATAAAAAATAAAATTTATTTAATATTTAATTGATCCTCCATTTGACTCTAATTCTTCGTGTCATTGATGCAGTAACCCGTTCTAAAATGGCCACATCAAGTTTTCTTCATCTTCAGTACAATCTTGAGTTCGTCCACAGTCGACGGAAAGTTCTCATTTTTTTGAATAATGTCCTTTAATATCTTTCAAATGTTCTCTATTGGATTCAGGTCTGGGGAATTCGCCGGCCAATTAATAATCACGATTTTATTTTCCCTTGATTTTTCTCTCAGTATGTATCGGCGCATTGTCATGTTGAAAGATTGCGTAACTTCCAGTTAATTCTCTAATTGCGTTCTGGAATGGAAGTAATTGAGTTTTTAAGAATTCTAGGTAAGTATTTGCAGTTATTTTTTTTATATTCATCACAAAAAATTAATGGTCCTTCCGCGAAATATCCCCAAACTACTACAGATTTTTGTCCACTTTTAAAGGTAGGCGTCAAACAATTAACGTTAAACTTTTCACTAGGATGCCGCCAAACTCTTGGCTGCCATGACTGCTTTCCAATTTCCACACTGGTTTCATCAGAGAAAATTATTTTCGACCAATCATAAGCTGATTTATTTTTATTTCTTCACACCATTTAATGTGAGCATATGTATATGTTTCCGAGATATAAGGTTTCTAGTCCGAAGTTGTGCAATACATTTGTGACGGTTGATAAACTACAAGTGAGGCCTAAATTGTTGACTATTTCGCGTATTGATGCATGTCGTTTTTCGCTAGCTTCACGTATAAGTAAATCTTTTTCGTGATTGTTTAAGGCTGGTGATCTTCCCGAACGTGGTAAATTTTCATTTTTCTGGTTCGTTTATATTTGTTTAGAAAGCGGCGTACCGTTGTAGGGTCGCGTCCGAATATTTTTGCGATTTTGTGGTGTCCATGTACGTCAAAATCTTCCCTTTTCAATTTCGTTAAGCTGCGTATAGGTGGATACCATTTTTTAACCTGACGAAATTATAGTGTTGATGAAGTGGCAAATGATAAAGTGATGTTTATTATCAAAATGGATTTTAAAAAATGGTTACACACGTAAATCGGGCGATACTTTCTGTACTTCGTACACGTAATTATTATCTACTATTCTTTAACCTAATAAATACATGTGATAGGGGATTTTTGGAACATAGAATCTTTAATTTTTTTTTAATAGAGTATTTATTTAAAAAATCTGTAGTTTCCTATTAAATTTCGATTGCCGTTAATGAGTATATATTTTATGTGTGATAACGAAAAACATGCCATGCTTATGACGATTATCGTTATCAAAAAAAGCAAAATTATTTCGTCATTTAAACTAGATTTAGATTATTGATGTTAGGTTTCTAACGTCCTTGCCACCATTGCCGCCACACGTCATAGTGACTTGTATTAAAAATAGATTAAACTAATTTTGATTTTCATGATGTCATCATCGTTGTTATATAGCGGAGCAGAGTTATTCAACCAAAAAAAGAAAAAGAAAATATGAATTTTTTTGATTTATTTTATATTTCACTTCAGGTAATAATTTGGCATAAAATTACGATTGTGGTCCCTGTTCTATATATATTTTTTCTAACATGAGTTTTCATTCATCAGTCGAGTTCTTTGATATTAATTGTGTGTTTGATAGGATATATTTGCGCCAGACAAGGAATTCTGAATCATGAAATGCAAAAGGTACATGTATTACGTTACCTATAAATTCAATCTTTTATTGGGACTTTTTAATCTATAAACTTTAAATAGGGACTCTCCCAATTAACGATCGATATTCTTACGCCGTGCCTATTATTTTCACAAGTTGCCAAATCAATCGATCTCGACACGCTGGCGCGTCTGTGGCCACTTATCGCCTCATTCTTTTTTTACATGCTGATTGGTGGAATATTGGGTGTAATTGGAGGGAAGATTCTTGGTTTTTCGCGTTTACATGTAAATTTGGTGGTGAATGGAATTATCTTTAATAACATTCAGAGTGTTCCGATTGGTTTGATTCAGAGTATGAAGGCCACGAATGCTATTAAATTCTTGTTTGAGAGTGACATAGACACCCCAGAAAAAACCATCACCAGAGGTATTTCTTATGCATTATTGAATTCTCTGTTTGCTAATATAACAAGGTATATATATATATATATATGTATATATATCTTTATTGTCAGTATATTTTGTGTTGTTACTCTTTCTAACAAATTTACTGAATAGATTTAGTTTAGGAACATGGTTATTACAAAAAGGTCAGACGGATGAAATAGTTGTCGTCGAAGAGGCAAATCAAGCTAACCACCACGCAATGGACTCTTTGGTAAACGAGAATACACCGTTAGTGGGTAGACAAAGAGCCTCGTCAACCTCATTCTACAAATGGACAGAAAAACTCTATTATTCAATCAAAGAATTGATGAATTTTCCTCTATTATCCGCAATTTTCGCAATAATAATCGGAGTAGTACCACAATTGAAGCAACTCTTCTTTGAATCTCAATTATTCTATCAATTAATTACTCGTTCAATTGAGTACCTTGGCGACATTGCGATCCCAATGACGCTCTTAATTCTTGGATCACAAATGAACAATCTCTCCATTGGTCAAAATCGCGAAATACTACTTCCAATCTCATTTATCATGCTGTGCAGATTCATCATAATGCCAATAATCGGTATAGCCTTTTTGATCGCGACGAGAAGCTGGTATTTTGAAGATCCGATGTTGTGGTTTGTGTTGATGTTAACTGCTAGTGGGCCGACAGCTATCAATCTTTTGAATATTGCACAGATGGTGGGTGCGTTTGAGCAAGAGATTTCTGCGCTGTTGGTGTATTCGTACGTGGCATTGATACCAATGTTGTCAGTCTATGTGATGATTTTTTTATCGGTGATTGATTGGATTAAATAAATTGTATTCATATTCACAATAAAGTTATTGAAACACCCGTGAGATGCATGAATAAAGAAGGATGTTCAGTTTGACGAAATTTTTAACCTTGAACTGCCAGTAGATGGATTCCTCATTTGAAGAGTGAACTCCGTTAATGACAATATACAATTAGTTAATATTAAACGATAGAAATCTAAAATTGGAAACTAGCTATATTTAAAAAAAGCCAGTTAACGTTAATATTAAACGATAGAAGTCTAAAATTGGAAACTAACTTACATTTCCTTAATAGACAAGTTCAATAAGTAATGTAAATATTTTGAACAATTACACACAAACTTGGCATTTGTTTACATGTCAGTAATTGTTCAAAATATTTACAATCTGGGAATAAAAAAAACCGAAAAACTTTCAAGCAAGCAATCACATTCTTTTTCCGTACACATGTACATGGGAATAAACTAATTTACGTAATCTAATGGAATTCATTTGATACCAATAGATCAAAAAATACATGTACAATGTCGCTGGACATTTTATTTTTGATGCTACACAATATGTGCGAACATAAGATAACGATAACGTTTTTTGGTTAGCATTCACGAGTTCATATCAGATGCTGATTGAATATAGAGGACCCTTAAGGAAAAAAATTTAAATCGATATCGATATAAATACTGTAAGATACAAAACATGAGAATATATATAATCATAACCATAAACAAATATACCAGACGTAATGGAACACGTAGCTCAGCATCGTAGTTCGGAGCCTCAAACTATCGTCAGAGATACGACAACTACCATCACAATCAATGAATCGGAAAATAAAAATGGAAATCAGATTAATTTGAAAATTGATGGTATTTAAGATTTTTATTATACATGTATATATTTTGTAATTATATTAGTTTGATTTTAATAAATCTTATTCATGTAAAATAAAAGAACTTTACATTCAAGAAAAGAATTCGAGTTTTACCAGTTCAAATGGTGCCAGTAATGATAGTGTGAGTCTTGCATGGCGAAACTTGTCGTATGCAGTGACGAATCCAAAGACGAAACAAAAAACCAACCTCGTTCATGAAGCTAGCGGTGTTGTTAAACCAGGCGAAGTAATGGCAAGTAAGTAAGCTAATGATCGCGCGTTATATCACAAGGCCAAATTCTTATTCGATTTAGTAATGGGACCTTCGGGCGCCGGCAAGTCAACTCTACTCGATGTACTAGCGGGTCGTAAAAATCCTAAATTAACTACGGGAGAAATCTATTTAAATGGAAAACCTGGACAAGTAAAATACGTTTCGACATACGTTATGCAAGAAGATGCTTTGATGGGTATTTTCCATAAATTAGCAATTCAGCTTTTCATATGAACAATTAATTATTTATAATTTAAATTTTTTGAAGGTGTACTGACTGTGCGTGAAAACATTCAATTCGCTGCCGATTTATGGTAAATTTAACTTTACTTTTATATCCAAATTAGTTGCGTAAAAAATTGCCAATTATGGAACTCAAAATCTTTTTTTATTGTTATCGTTATTTCAGTTTTCCTTCATCGTATTCTAAAGCAGAACGAAAAGCACGTGTTCAAGCTATTATAACCGAATTGGGACTAGATCGAGTTGCCGATTCGAAAATTGGAACGGTTTTCGTTCGAGGAGTATCAGGTGGTGAAAAACGCCGGGCATCCATTGCTACCCAAGTTCTTACCTTACCAAAAATTATTTTTCTTGATGAACCGACAAGTGGTCTCGATGCCGCCGCATCATATAACGTGATGAAAGCAATTGTACAAATGGCACGGAACTATAAGCTTACCGTGGTTGCCAGCATTCATCAACCATCAACCGAAACTTATTCGTTATTCGATAAATTATGTATTCTTGGTCGTGGACGAACACTTTACATGGGTAAACGCGAAAAAGCAATAGATTATTTCAAAACGTTAGGTCACGTCGTGCCGGCTTATTCAAATCCAGCAGATCATTTTCTATACCTGATCAATTCGGATTTTATGACGGATAGGACTCAAGCGGAAGAACATATCACCCAATTCAGCGATTCGTTTGAAAATTCAGATGTCAACAAATTGCTACAGGAAGAGATCAATACCTTGATTGAGCAGCATAAAGAAACGGGTACTCGAATTATTTCATCAAGTACAACCCACCGTTATCAACATAGTTTCCTTCAACAAACTATGATTTTAGTTAGGCGTTCTTTTCTTAACGCTATGAGAAACCTTTTGGTGTTTTGGGTGCGCATTATATTGTATGTAGCGCTTGGACTACTAATAGGAACAACATATTGGCAAATCGGATATAATCAAGCCAACATTACTGAACGTCTTTCTTCAGAGTATTTTTCAGTCGCATTTTTATCATTTATGAGTATCGCTGGTATTCCAGGATTCTTAGAAGAGCGACTAGTTTTTCAGCGTGAACGAGGAAATGGATTCTATTCTGTCGGTCCATTTGTATTAGCGAATACAATCATATCAATTCCTTTCTTATTCATTATCTCCGGTTCATTTACGGCTGTAACGTATTCAGCTGTCGGCTTACATAACGATGGAAAAAATGCGATATTATTTATTGTATACATGTTTCTTTGTTTGAATGTTGCCGAAGCAATGGTCTGCTTTATCGCCTCTATTATTCCGATATTCATTGCCTCCCTTGCAATAACTGCTTTTGCTAACGGGTTTTGGATGGTTTTCGCTGGTTACCTCGTTCGACCGCCTAATATTAGCAAAGGATGGAAATGGGCACATTATATCGATTACCAGAAATACTCATTCGAGACGATCCTTTATAACGATCTGAAAGGATTAAATTTCAACTGCGAAAGGCTTAATGATACTTCTTCGGATCGTATGTATAATTGTTTTTATGGCGATAAGTCCGGAAGGTCAGCAACTTTTACGGGTGAAGATGTATTGAACGAACTTGGATATACGAATATTAGGCCCGCTTTGTGGACAGTGAGTTATTTTTTGTTGAACGTGTGTTTGTCATCATCTGCCTTAATAACATCATTTATTTGTTTTTCATTTTAGGTTATTCTTATTGCAATGGCTATTATCTATAGATTAGCATTTTTTGCAGTCTTACGATTAAGAAAAAATCATAGTTAATTATTCATGTATATTTTTAAATCTTCACTATCTATGTATATAGTTTTATGATAATAAAGCGAAAATAATTTGAATGTTGAAAACTTCTTTATATGTGATCATTAAGACGCCGCACTATTATTTTAAAGAGAAGAATTTAGGTATAAGTCAGAGGAATTATTCACGAATGCAAGTTGGTAAAAAGCCAATGGCATCATCATTAGCTAAGTCGAGAATATGTTCTCTAGGCGATCACGTTCTAACATTCACTATTTCATAGAAATATCAAAATCCGCATGAATTACTATCGCACACAGGACATGTCCCCTTATTTTTTGTGTAATCTTTTCACTATATGATCAACAACTAGCATAAATCATTTTATATATGATGAAGCAGAGAGTTTTGTCTGCTCTGTCTATTTATTTTATGTTATTTTTAAAGGTAAACTATCACGGTGCTCTAAGATAAAGAATAATGGCAGATATTTCCTACTTGAATTTCTAATATAAACACTGTAGCAGACAAAACCTTAAAACGAGCGTCATTTAAAGTTAACGTATTGGTTATAATATCTATCGATCAAAATAGCAAAGATCGGCAGATAGCGTTGTAACGCGAGAAATAAAAATTCGAATTTTCGCATTTATTATCGTTATTGATTTAAAATCCAACCATTTATTAATCTTATAGTTCTTTTACCTGTCTTTTTTATTAAATTATAGTTTTAAATAAAAATTTCATTCGTATAATATCGATATATGCGTGTGCGTCTACTTTATTAGACCAAATTTAGGAAATAACTATAACGATAAGAATCAACGAGATATCAATAAAAATAAATCAATGATATAACAATTAACGAGGATATTAATAAAAGTATAACAATTAACGAAGATATTAATAAATGATCAGAAAAATAGATATGGTGCAGGAACTCTTAAATCGACAATATGCTTCATGTTAAAAATTCCATCAAAATTTGACCAGTAATATTATCAAGAAAGTCATTTTCTATGATATTGCCGGTTAAGTTTTAGATTTATTTCTTAGGTAAGAAGTTGATAGAATTTTTAACATGAAACATATTGTCGATTTAAGAGTTCCTACACCATATAAGCCATCACATAAAAATTCAAAATGTCAAGAAATAGAATTGTCCTTCAAAATCGTACAATAAAAGAGTTTTCGATTTTTTTAGCGTTAGCGTTAATAATAAAAAATAAAAATTTTTATTTATCATAATCGATTTTGAAATTGAGAATTAATTTCTAGTCTCCATGATATCACATATTTAAAAGTTTAAAGAAAAATTTATTACTGCTTAAAAGATTTAAAAACATAATTACATAAAATTTTTTTGGCTTATATTATTACTTATTTTGTTTTTTCATTGTTATTAATATCATTTTTGATTTTTTTGACTTATTATTTTTCTTTTTTTTGATTTGGTTATTATATTAATATTATTTTACTGCATAATAATGTTCTTATATTTGTGAGAATTCCTGTTAATTTTTAATTTTGCTTGCATTACGAAAATTTCTTTGATATCTTAACCAAACTTCACAAACTCTCTTTACATCCCATTCTTTAGGATTTGCATTAGGTAAAGTACAGATTTCTACAAGCACCATTTCCATCTCTGTCTTTGTTAATTCAATATTATTTTGAAGTCTTTCAAAGATTGCTTGTTCTGAACTTGTTAAATATTGGTGTTTTTTATTAATTTTTTGGTTGTTTTCAAATTTTCTTTTTTCTTTGATTTTTGTACTTTGTTGTACTTCTGTCTCTTTATGCTCTTTGTTGAGTTGTTTAATTATCTTTTCACGCACTTTTCAATCTATCTCTACTTTTTTTTGCTGATTAATTGTATTTGTTTGTATATTTTTCATTCGGTGACCTTTAGTATTGAGAGAAATAGTTTTTTCAATTTCTTGAGCATGAATATCCTTAAGTCATTCAACTCTAATTTCATAACAATTAAAAAGATTTTTGAATCCAATTTCATTATTTTGTGTTGTGTCATGAAATATTTTGTGAGAAGGATAATTTATTTTATCAAATGCCTCTATAAGTTGGTAGACCAAATTCCAAAGTTTTTCTTTATGAGAAATCATTATACGGCTTTCACGAATAAAAATATTATCTTCTACAAACTCATCTAAAAATAAATCAAGACATTCTTGTTCAGATTGTACTGAAGATATTCTCATTATTAATTCTTCATTGCTACTTGGATTTACACCAATATTTTGTTTCATATACTTTATTCCAAAGGTTTCAAGAGCCTTATCAAAGGCAAAAAAATATCCTGGTTGAGTTAAATTAACTAAACAAACATGACAAAGTAATAATTGTAAAGAAGAATCATTATTAACATAATAAATAAAATGAGTAGTGGATAGAGATGTGCCTATGTACATTATACGTGTATATATGTGCACACATATATGTACATTATGCGCATAGCTATTAACTGATATCATAAATGCCCATACACAATTATACATATGGTTAAGTTCATAAATCATCACTAATTAAGGCATTTGTACTTGATAAACAAATGTATTTATCATTATACTGATACAGAACATACATATAATTGATAATCATAAATATTTACATCTTTATTGTTAAAGTTCTATTTAATCAAATTGGTCATATTGCTGGATTTCAACAATAATATCAATATGATAATTTAGTAATTCAGTGTAAGTCACATCTGTGTGTATATCCAAATATCTCAATTGAAGTTAAATGATCATTTTTTAGTGAAAATCCAGAAATTGCTAATACAAATTCACTCAATGCCAATTTGCCAGGAAGTCAACTTATGCAATACAAAACAAAATCAGATCTTTTCAATAATACATTAGCATGGAAGTGTATTGATAATATTGATCTAATTACTTGATAGATTGCGAATTTTGCATAAGCAGTACCTAAATTAACACAATTAGCATAATGTATCTTAACAATTTTAATAATTCCAATATCATCTGCATAACTGGTTAACTTTTGCAAATATTTCATAACAAAAAAAGAAATTGGTTAAGTAGTAAGCATGTTTTTAAATTAATTTATATTTATAGTAATTATAAATTACAAACTCCTCCAGATAATTAAAAAAAATTGTCAAAAAAAGCATTAATAATGAAATAAGCATCAATCAATATTATGCTGGTAATAAGAGTGATGAAAGCAAATATCAGAATAATAATGAAAGTGAATATCAGGATGGTAATGATAATGAATAATTTAATATATCAGATAATAGTGATGATATATTAGAAATATCAAGTGATAGTAATAATTATTAATTAATGTATATAATAGTTATAGAAAATAAAAATCATCATTAATTTTTATGAATTTGCGTCATGTATTTGATTGATTACTATATATGTACATATAGATTATTATGCATATTACATGTATATTATGTGCATATGTATACTATGTACATAGTACGCATAGTATGTATAGTGATGAACTATGCACATATTTGCTCATCTCTAGTAGTGAATTTTGCGTAATTACTCTTTTCAGCTACTGCAAAAAATGATGCAAATGCCATTAAATTTTTAAATTACATATTGTAATAACCATATCAAATTCCAATGTGATGACCAATTCAATAGCCAGTCTAACAAAAGTAAAGATATCATATTTTTATTATATTATTATTTATATTTAAAATATCATTAAATATTTTATTTTTGTTTTTTGTAATTTGTTTTAAAGCAATTGCTACAGTCACCTATATTAATTCTAGAACACAACTTATAGCTTGATAATCAACCACTTTTTTCAGTTTATCAAGATATTATACTTCTAGGTAAGCAGCTAAATTAAAAATTCTATAACCTGAAAATATAGTAATTAAAATTCCACACATCTCTTTGCTTGTATATCATACTCCCAGCAAGAGTCTAACTTCTGATTTTTTTTCATGATAAGATATTAAACAGCGAAAAATTATCTCATCACATGTAATATCAATATATATACCATTATTTTTTGTATCTATATCATTGAAATATATATTACAAGCTTTATAAATAGCTTCATTATTGCATAGATTTGGTCCAGCTTCAAGAATTACTATATTTAGAGATGGTATTCTACATTCTAACTCAATATCTTTTGTTATTTCATTATGAACTGTTTCCATATCAAATTCAATAGCATATTTTAAAAGAATATCAAAAGCTTTTTCAAACTCTTGAATTTACTTTATTGTAAAGTCTGATTGGCCTATTATAAATGGTTGTTTTTTATCAATTGTAACAAAATTTGGATTTAAAGAAAAAGATAATTTGAATTGAAAAATCATTCTCAAAGTAATATGAACTGTTGCACAAGTAGCATCATAAATATTTCCAAAAGTAAAAGAACATTCTTTAAAATTAATATTATCTATTACACAAAGATTCCAAATATTTTTCTCTTGTAATAACTTTTCTTTTGGCTTAACTTCACTTATTCTTGTTTTTTCTAATCTTCTTTCATATTATTGAGTATGAGAAATAATACCTGCTGTATATAATATCATGTATAACAAGCTTAATAGTTTGGGTTTTCTGTATAATGAGCTCATTACATGTATTAGCTATGTATTAATGCTTGGAAATGTAATTATTAAAATCATAGATATTAAAAAAATTGAAATTTTTGCTGAATAAGCTATATTAAAATTCTTTTCTTCAAATCCTCTTTATCTTCATTTTTTTTCTGTTATTTCATGCTTTTTTTTCAGTAAAGTATTAATAAAACTATCAAAAAACTTTTGTAAAAAGATTGGAAAGCCACTTTGATATTCTTCAAGTGATTATAGTGTTTCAAGCTCTTTTTTTCTTCTGTATTTCAGAATGAGATTTTCAAGTAGCAAGTGCAACAGCTTCATCCATTTTTTCAAATTCTTCTTTTGTTGAATTATAATTTGAATATTTTTCTAAGTTTCTCAAATTTACTTTTCCAAGACATAGCATTATTTTAATTAAAAACAAGCTTGATGA